AGTAGGAAGAGTTTCTTTTCAAATCTATGAGGCTACTTTTCCCTTTGGTGTCCAACAGAAAGTTTTGTCTCCTTTTTCCTTTTGCAATGTGCCAAATATTAATGATAGTGATATTGCTGTTACTGATGTTACTGGTATTGATGCCCTTACAATAGCCTAATGTTTGTTGGGGACTGAGCCCATTTGCCAGCCCAAGGATGCCCAAGGATGTTCATGTAAATGCGCAAGCATTGATTGTTAGATGGAATGTGTGTTAGTTCAGGTTTGTTTGTGTTAACAATGGGTTGGTGCATTTTGCATCTATGTGGAAGAGTATCATGTCTGCAATAAGAAATTGTGTAAAACTGTTCTCATTGTCCAGAAGAAAGCACATTTCTCTTTAGCCTAGGCAAGCAACAGGTTTGTGCAACACCAGTTCAACAAAGGATTTATTTTGTGTGCATTTTTGCATTGGTTGGATTGATTTATAACTGGAAACAGCAGAACCCCCCCCCCTTCTCTGAAAAACCACAAGGCTTGATTTATAGCTCAATTTATAGCTGAGCGGCAGCTAGCATGCGATGGCAGCCCTGCTAAGTTGGAAAGGCTCCGGTCTGCAGCTGGATGGGTGACTGCATGTGGATGCTGACTGCTATGGATTACACACCCATCATCCTCCTTGGGATGACTGCCAGCAACTCCTGCAAGTTCTTTTTACTTCCGAGGAGCGCGATCGGATTCACCTTGAGGCTCGGAAGCAGGTTCTTGGCACAGATGGCCAACCCACCACTGACCCGGTTATTCTGGAAACGAGCCTCCCAGCCCAACGACCCAACTGGGATCCAAATACGATTGCCGGTGAAGGAGCTCTAACCAGGACCTCCAGATCATGGGCGCCCACACGGTAGAGACCCTTCTCCAAAGCCCACCTGATCGCTGGATCTCCAACGCTCGTGCCACGCAATATCAGGTATTACTGTTGGACCCTCCCCGGGTAACCTTCTCCAAGTCTCCAAGATGATGGTCCTAAATCCGGCCACCCTCCTGCTGGGGGACGAACAGGAGGGCCCCGCCCCCGACTGCACTGAGGCCCTCGACACTATCACCGGCACCAGACCGGATCTGTCCGATGTCCCGCTAAGGCCGCCGGCCCACAACCTATTTACAGATGGGAGCAGTTTCGTCAAGGACAGAGTCCGGTATGCGGGAGCAGCGGTGGTCACCAGATCTGAGGTAATATGGGCCCAGTCACTGGGACACGGCACGTCAGCCCAAAGGGCGCAGCTCATCACCCTAGCGCAAGCCCCCCGGTGGGGGAAGGGGAAGACTCTTAACATTTACACGGACAGCCGGTACGTCTTCGCCACAGCTCACGTCCACGGGGCGTTGTACCAGGAAAGGGGACTGTTGACCTCCGGGAGGAAGGATATTAAAAACACAGAAGAAATAATGGAGGCCCTCTGGTTACCAGAACGCATGGCTAGTACAAAACTGCCAGAGAGGCGGCCCTAAGACCAGTAGGGCCACTAGAGATCCTCCCGGTACATCTGCCTCCCCGAGTTCTTCCTGAACGGCCAACTGATTCACAGAAGGAAAAGGACTTGGGCACACTCTTGAAGTTGGCAGTCATTGGACGGACCTCCTTCCGTTTGCCCTCCTACGCACGCGATGCTCCCCTTATAGGAAGCAATTGTATTTGGGCGACCGCCCCCTCTGCTCCCCTGCCTGGCGGAGGAGACGTGCGCCGAGTTGTCTAACCACAACTTGCTTGAGTCCTTGCAGGCCCTAGATCGCGTCCGGCACGATATTCGCTGACAGGTTTGGTCCAACATGGGCGAGACTACGGAGGCTCCGGACCCCGCAGCTGACCCCCGCAGCGTAAACCCGGGAGATTGGGTCTGGCTAAAGAACTTTCACCCTGTCACTCTAGGTGCCCGGTGGCTAGGACCCTTCCAGGTGATCCTCTCCACTGCCACGGTGGTAAGACTGGCTGAAAAACCCCACTGGATCCACGTGACACAGATAAAGCCTGCTTCGCCAGTCCTCTCGGGAAAAATGGACGGTGGATGGTGCACCAAACCGAAAACCCTCTGCGAGTCAAGTTAAAAAGGGTCTCCTCCCAGCAGCCCTCCTGATTCTTCTCGCCCGCCCAGTAGGCTGTCCCCTCCTGAACCCACACCAGCCACTTACCATGGAATGGACATTGCAGACTGCAGACTGATTGGCAGGCCTCCCCGCCAGTAGCAACCGTCCTAGGGGTGAATGTGTATCTCCTACTCAGAAAATGATGGGAGCGCCTGCCCATGGGGGCTCCACCTCTCTATAACATTAGAAGAGTTCTCAGGTCAAGGGACCTGTGTCACGGGTCCCGGTGGGCCCCACAATGATCCACAATACGCTGCTACCTTACTCCTGACCCCCACAGCACGCCCCTACCTCCTGGCAGCCCCGAATGGGACTCTTTTTGCTTGCCAATCCGGCCTCACCCCCTGCAGCTTATGTGCTGCCTTGGATAAGAAATGCTGCTTTTATGCAAATCATTCAGGCATCATCCGTAACAGTCTAGACCTAGTCAAAGCCTGCCTGGAGGACTGGGAAAGGCGCCGCCAGGAGGGTTCCAACTGGTATCCGTGCCTCTTTAACTGGTCCCCCTGGCTGACCAGTCTGCTCTCTTCCCTTGCTGGACCCCTTTTAGGATTATTATTTTTCCTTATCTTCGGGCCCCTTCTGCTCAGTTGGGTCACCCGCCTTGTCCAGCAGCACATTAACGCTGCAAAAGTATTGGCATTTCATGTCAGGTCTCATCTGGGGCAGGGTAATGGTTACAAGCTCCACCCACTAGCGGTCCACGGACTCGATGATTCGATTCCCCAAAAGACCAGTAGGGAATGTTGTAACCCCCCTCATAATCAAGCATGTAGCCAGGGCTTAGCTCATCACGAGTATCAGGGTGTCCTGTTCGCATGAGAACAAGTACACGAACACGGATGTGCACGCTACGCAAAGCTGACGACAAAGCAGGCTACGCTCCAGCATTACCAGTATCACCGCAGACGTTATGCCCTTGTACCCACGCTTGCTTGCTTTGGCATGATAAATGTGCAAAATGTGCTCTCCCCTATTGTTTCTCTGTTCTTCCCCTATGGTTCGCTGTCATTCAAGCATAAGTGTAAAAGAGTATAAAAATCAAATGTCTCTCCTCTGCCTGCTACCACACTCTCACGAGTGCATGGTCCCTGCCGGCAGGTAAAAATAAATCTCTCTCGATAATTCCAACCCGTCTCTGGTCTCGTCCGTAAAATCTCGCCGTACAACAGTTCTATTCGAGGGTAAATACCAAACTGAACTGGGTGTATTACGTTAATAAAATTATAGCCACACAAACCAGGAGAAAGAAAAAGCCCAACTGGCAAAATGGCATGTGGGCAGGTTGAGGGTGAGAAACGTAATGATTGAGTAGCAGAAATGGACATGCATGGAGCTGGCCAAGAAACAAGAGGGCAGCTTGGGTGGCCATGACCCCCTAGCACGGCCTATGCCCTTTCTAATCATGGTGAGGTGGTGTGAGAGTGCCAGAGAAGCCAAGAGTTTTTAAAGAACTAAGATATGAAATTGGTGATTTTCTAACAAAATGTGCAACATCTCCCTAAAAACAACCTCTGTACCAGAGGACTGAAAAATGGCCACTGTAACACCAGTGTTGTAAAGGGATATTTGGAGATGTGAACAGGCCTGTATCTTATTCAGGTCTAGGTTCTAAGATGGCCAACCTGCTAAGAGGTTTTCAGTACATTGTTCTTCTGCCTTTACATTGACACATTGAAATAGAACCAATTTTCTGGCATAGCGTCAGAATCCAAATACTGATTTTTCAGATTTTAAAATGGTGTCGAAGGAAATAGATGAAAAGTTTAAAAAAATTGCCACTCAGACTTAGATGCCATTATCATATTTAATATTTTTTTCATTCTGTGTTACAACAAATCACACAAGGGAAAACATCAAGACACAGAAGCATAGGTGACAAATTAAGATCTGGCAGAATCACTGTGCCAAAGAGGGAGATGAGGGGACAAAACCCTTTGCAACATGACAGCGGAGTGCGAAAAGGGTAACGGAGTCGTGGCAACGGGATCAGTACCCCCAGAATGGCTTCTGCTATTTAGGCATGAATCATTTGAGGAGAGTTGTCCAGGGAAATATATTTTGGATCACTGCATTGATGGAAAATGACTTCACAGTGGCAACAGATCTTGTTTCCAAGAGCCACTTCCACAAGATGCAGGATATGGGCTGAGAACACGCTGAACATATTCCAGCAAAGCACATTTTCTGGCCCAAAGCACTGATTGTAGCCCAACTATAATGCGTGTGCTCTGCAGTTCCTTGCCTATACCCCTGTTTTGCAGTTCAGGCACATGGGAAAAACAAGAATCCATCCTGGAGTCATGGATCTCCTTAGTGAGTCACACATCTCACTATAAAATGGGTGCCCTCTGCAAATGGGTGAGCTTTGCATTTGTACTGAGTTGGATACAGAAAAAGAGTGTAATACCAAGTACAGTTATTATGAAATAGTTTCCACAGAGCACATTCAATTTCAGCCCTTACCAAGTGTGTTTAGTGTTGCAGCCTGAGACAGCTCTATTTAAGTCACTGGCATTCCCTGCTGATTTCAATGAGTCCAGGTGCAACTCACTAAGTCTAGCTCCAACCATTTAGTTTGAATTCAGCTTGTGAGTTTGGTCTGCATTCCTGCATGCACGCACAGGTGTGTAAGCCCCTTCGGACCAGGCTGGAATTACTTCCCAGAACACATGCATAGTCCTCAGCAACATGCTAATCCTCCGTTTTGCTAGAGAGATACTTCCCAGCTTCCCCTCCAATTCCTGTGTCTAGTTGAGAAGGCCCATTGACTTATGAAGGCCCAGTATGCAATGAACGCAGAGTCCCCCAAGTTCCCCAGTAGTGTATTTTCCCTTTGTGATTTCTGCTATGCTCCAGTGTGGCTAGAGGATAATTTATCTTCTTTCTACTTGTGTGTCGCATGGAGTTACATCTGGGATAGGGATGCACCTCCTCACCACTGTCTGCACTTGAGCCACAACTGTATTGTAGCTGACTCCTTGCACTGTGGCACTTCGTGTCTCCCCATTGCGGTAGTAACGAGTTGCTGTGGCTGTGAAGGGAATGCTTCCTCTCTTTCTCATGCCATACATTTCCACCTCACAGCTGTGGTTGGGTGGGACATTGACCTCTACCTGTTCAGTAAAAGTGACAGATTCAGACTGAGTGGAGCCCTTCCTCCAATCAAAGTGTTTCTCCTTTGTGATACCCCATGATACCCCAATGTAGTCAGGTATGCCAATTGTCATGCCAAAATTCACACTGCTTGAGATGGACATGCCAATGTCCCAGCTGTGTTCATTTTGTACCATCTGTGCTAGGCTGGTAATTTTCTTAACTGCACTGCATTCATAGTTGTTGACTTTGCTAGTGGTTAAGATCAGAGATCCAACATCAGTGTACGACCCCTGGTTGAAATTATACCTGGCATTGTCAATTGTTTGAGACCGATAGTCCTTTTTAATAATCAGGACATCATAGTATTTATACCAGTACTCTTTGCCCTGGTAACCTAAGAAGAAAGCTTTATTTTTGCTATCCACCTTCCCTAAGCCATATTTATTTTTCCCCACATACAGTCTTGTACCTGCACAGGTATTGATGGAATTGGGTGGAACGTCACCAAATGAATCTTCTCTCCAGCTCAGTGATTCAAAGTTATGGCCATTCACCAAAATCCAGAACTGGGAAGATGAGTATTCTTTGTTTCCATAAGGGTAGAAGCAGTAGGGGCCACGGCTTGGGCTATAGTAGCCAGCGGAACAGTCTGATACTTTACAAGGATATTCCCACCTATTCCCATAGGCATTCCAGAAGGACACAGCTCCGCTGGGAGCAGAGCCTGGGAACCAAATCCAGCCCAGAGTGCTTTCATAGAAAACATCACCATTCCTGCTGGAAGATTCCATGTTGCCTCTCAGGTTCAGAGTAGCTTTGGAGTCTTTGACATGTACTGAAAAGTCAACCGAAACAAAAGCAAAAATGGATCAGACAGAAGAAATAATTTTTAAATTTGCTTTGTATTTTAAAATTATGTATATGACTTTTGTACGCCACCTAGGGACTTTTAGGTAATTGGTGGCATATAAATGGAATAGAAATAAACAAGCATTCAATCAGTCAATCAATCAGTCAAACAAGAAAGTAAAGAAATAAATAAGAGGCTTATGGTCGATGGAGGAACATGTTTGCATGTTATGTCATCGAATCTGCTGCTGAGATGCATGCATACATGTCCCATGCCACAAATGGTTGCATTAGGAACTCCAGGTGACCTGAGGAGTTCTCTGGGAGTGGCTTGATCCCAGTCCGCACCAGCATTATTCCAGCTGGGAAGGCAGTTGCAAAACTGGCAACCTGCACTCCTTGACTATCTTGAAATCCCCCTAAATCATGACACTGTGTACCCATTGAAGCCCCTGGTGCTGAGTGCAGCAGAATAACCAACATTATCCACCTCATTTTCCTTCTGTTTCCAAGTTTGGGATATTTTCCAAGGAGTTCTTTGAATGCTGCTTCAGCATCTGAGGGCCCAACCAGAGGGGGATGTCCCGGATGCAGTGACCGTCACTCTGCAGATGCTCTCATCAAGATGGCGAGGCCTGTGATGGGAGGGGTCAGGCCTCTGCTCCACCTTAGCAGGTTTTGAACAGCATTAGAGTGTTGACATATCAGGGTGGAGGGTGCTATAGACGATTTGAGAGGAGGGCATTTCTAGGGCTGTGTCCCCCATACCTACCAGTTGCCACTTGACCTGTTTGCACAGTCCTCTCCAGGACGGTGAGGGAGACGTTCATTGTGTTGGCCCAGGACTCAGCCATGAGCGGGAACACGGACACAGCGAGGAGCAACAGCTGCATCTGAAACAAAAGGCAGGTGGGCAATCAGTCTGGGAAGGCAGGCTGGAAAGCAGAAGGCATTTTGTCTGGATCACCAGACCTGTTTATATACCTGTAGCGTTTAACTGGCCAGGAGATATGAAGATGGCAAAACTTAGTTATTTTCTGTACTCTGCTCCTGTTGAAGAGCAGTGCTAGCCAAATGACACCAGTCTCACGGAAAGGAATGGATGAGATGGCTTTGGGCCTTTGGCACCAAACATTTTTGCCAGAATGGATCCACCCATGAGCAAATTGTAAGGTCATTTTTCCTTTTCTCTTTCCCTTTGGTGGAAAAGAATCAGATAGTTTACAGGAAAGTGTAAAGCTACTCATTTAGACTTTAAGTAAGTAATGGACTGAAGTGGCTTATTGAATTCTGCAATGCAAAGTTAGGCCAATATATTAACATTGCATTTAATATGTATTTTTATTTTGTTTTTGCTCACAGTTTCAAGAGATGTTTTTATTAGCATACTATTTTGAATATTGTACTCACATAATTTTTAAAGCCTACTTTACCTTCCCAACTAGAGCAATTGGAGCAGCTTACAGATCAGAACACTTAACACTGCAGCACAACAAAGCAGAGCAGAGAAAGTGACTTACGAATTGTAAACAGACAGGGACATAAGCTGGCCTGTTTTTAATGTTGTTAGCCGCTTAGAGAACCCTTTCTACTGTACAGAAGCCAAGCACTTGCCAGTCAGCTGCCCTTCTGCAGACAGCCCATACTGACCTAGCTGTGTCTGGGAGAAAAGATGGGCACATTCTTCTGGAGCAAGGTGAAGGCTTCGAGGGAGGCCACTTACCTTGGGATTCATTGATGCTTCTGGCACAGTAGTCCAGGGAAGATGGAGTGTTGCTTCCTCCTGTCTCCCTTTATACAATCTCCTGAGCAATAGAGGAGGCAATGGCCTCATTTGTAGGGTGGGACTTTATGGTTTTTTGTTTCTTTTTGGGTGGGGGGGGGAATTTCATCTAAGTTATCAGAAAATGTCCCTCTTTCTGATATCACATGAGATTAATTTATAGGAATCTTATCAAACCAATGTTCTAATTTCTAAAACAAATATTTTTACAGAATTCCCAGGTGTTGGTTCAGCATTCTGCTTCCCACAGTGACTAATCTGAGGCTTCTATTGACTCCACAACTAAAGCAAGAAGTAATTCCCAACCCCCTGCTCAGGTGTTCTATGCTACAACATTTACTGGCATATGGTCCCTGAATCTGCAAATTCCTTCAACCTTCAGAATTAGTAGCCACAGTCAGAGCCTGTAAATTAATTTGTCCATGTGCCCTTTAAATCCATCTCCCCAGTGGGCCAGTACCACATCTTGAATTAACAATGAGTTACAAGAAGTTTTTTATTTTTGCCTGTTTTAAATATATCGTCCACTAATTTCACTGGGTGACCTGATTTCCTGGAAAATGTTGGGAAAATTCTGAGAAATCCTGGGAGAAAAAGCTTGCTTCTATGTGCCTTTGTGTTATACAATCAAACCTGTGCCTCTTTCTCACAAAGCAGCAGAGTTCCAAGCCAAGTTACTGTTCAGTAATGCTGTTTGTTGCCTTAAGAAGATGGAATTTTAGTTGGACTGAGAAGCTGCTGTCGGCTAACAGTATCAGTGTTCCTGAATGGATCCATTTGATCATCTAGTTCCACAGAGGCAAGTGCCCCCGCAAGGTAGTTGTCAAACCAAACCAGTTTTCCTGAATGGTTCCTCCATCAGACACATTTGCATGTTTAAATAGACACACCGGCTGACCTGAACTGTCAAGAATTTACTGGACTGACCTATCAATAAAGCAGTCAGCAATATTTTCCATACTATTGTTACCAGTATTTCTGATCCATTTAGAAGATTACGTCATGCCTAAAGACATCAAGATTCTATTGTACCAACATTATCCCAACACTTAACACCCTGTATTGGTGTATGTGAGCATCAGAAATGGATTTGATGACAGAGCTGTGCATCCCATACAATAATAATGAATGATTTACTTTATTTCAATCATAGACCAGTAAAATACAAGAGTAGTAAAACAAATTCATTTTGACAAAATACATAAACCAAATCTAAACTTATCGAATGGTTAATGCAGCAAGTATCTGGACTTAAAAATGAATTATTGCCAGTGTTGATGCTGCAGTCTCAACTGATATAGATTTATGGCAACTTGACTGAAGTTTTATGGCATGATCTCACAGTAAATATGCTGGTGCTTTCCCCCACTTTCCCTGGAACTGCTGTCTCATGGGGCATAGAACTGGATGCTGCATGCCCTGTTGAAATATGCATTGTAACTGGTTGACTGCTGGCTAAGCATGAATCAGCAGAGTGCTGCAGTGGTCAAGAGGGTGAACGCCACCCCTGGCTGCATAGCCAGAAGCGTGGCTTCTAGATCAAGAGAGGTATTACTACCACTCTATATGACTCTGGCGCACCTGCAACTGAAGTATTCTGTTCAGTTCTGGGCTCCACATTACAGGAAGGATATAACCAGGTGAGAGTCAGTGCAGCGTAGGGCCACAAGGATGGTGGCTGGATTGCAGGGAGAGTCATGAGGCGAGACTGAGCAGACTGGGTCTTTTCAGCCTGGGGAAGAGGAGACTCAGGGGGGATCTGTTGGTGACATACAGGTATGTGAGGGGGTGTCACACGGAGGTGGGTAGAGACCAGTCCTCCCTTGCAAAGGAAGGCAGGACGCGCTCCAACGGAGCAATGCTCAGGGAGCCAAGGTTCCATTTAGATGCCAGGAAGTACTGCCTGACAGTTAGGACCCCCAGGGTGTGGAATGGGCTTCCACAGGAGGCGGTTGAGGCCTCATTGGTGAGGGTGTTCAAGGATAGGCTAGACATGTACATGGTAGGCATGGCGTGAGCAGAGGTCAGACTAAATGGCCCGGAAGACCCCTTCTCACTTGCTCTGTTTCTATGTCACTATGTTGTAACCAAACATGCTCTGCTGTTTCCATTTGTCCCCTCCTGAAGAAGCATGTCTGCCTCTGGGAGGATTCAGTTCTGCATCATGAATGCACTGCTGAATAGTCATTTTCATTTTTCCATAGCCGCTGGGTATAAATCCAAGATTTCACCATTCTCCAAAAAGCTTAAGTTTCCATTTCATGTGACATGTTTACTAATTTAACCTATAGGATAGTAGGCCTATAGATTGATGGACCCAAGTTTTACATTTTCAAAATAATAGACTAATCATTGCAAACACCCAATCTGTTGGATGTGGTCAACACGTGGCAGTTACTTGCACAGAAGCCTTGTGCAGGAAGTTTTACTAACAGCAGTCAGGGAGTGGGGACTTGAATGTAGCCTTCCTCTGCCCTGTGCAGCGCCCTAGTACCAGGGTTGGAGAAAAACTCAGCTGCAGATCTGGTTAGCTTTAAATAGGATGCAGGAAGAACTGAGACAGAAAAATGTCTCAGGCAGAAAAACATTTTGGGTGCTAGTTCTGTGTGCACACAACACTGTCAACTTGGAAAGCTGATTTACTGTGCTGTGCAGTGGTCAGTTTGGTTTTTTAAAAAAGGAAGGTAGCTATGCCCAGTGGTTCATATTCATTGCATTTCTGTTTTTTAATGTAAAACTGTTTGAAAGAGTTTCAAAAGCTCTAGGCTGGGGGATGGGAGAGGTCAAGAGCCTAGATTTAAGGATCTTGAATATTGTGGGTATAACAAAACCCAGGTCAAATGGAGGGAAACGGTGGATTGAGGTCATCTCTAGGTATTAACTGTATGTAAAGGACAGAAAAGGTGTGACTCTGCATGCCAGAGAAGGCAGGGCATTGAGTTGACGAGAGAACCTGCAAGTGCCCAACTCCTTGACAGCTCCTTGACAGCTCATCCCCCAGGCCAGAATGCTCAGGGTGAACTTAAGGTGGAGAGAGGTATCTAGACAAATAAGTGGTGGCTTCAGTTACTTCCATGTGGACTGAAAAAAAATCATGTTTCAGTCATGTTGAAGAGGTTACCAGTCTCGAGACCATAAATGAGTCATTGCCTGGGGCAT